AAATTTGAGATGGTTGGCTGAAAGAAGTGTTATGTAACAGAGAATTAATGAAATTTCTGAAGAACATCAAAGCGAAAGCTTTGCCAACGTAGGTGACAACATGTGGTCACATGCAAAAGAATTACCAAAACACTTCCTAGATTGTGAAAATGCATCAAGATGTTACAGCAAAATAATTATAATAATAGTAATAATAAATTAAATGAAATATATATCACATCACTGTTGACTTCCATTTTTTCTTCTTTTTTTGTTTGTTTTAGTTGATACTTAATGGCACATCATTTTATAGCTTTTTACTCACAAAAGGATGATTCTTTTGAACATGCTTCAGATATTACGTGATAACATGGAACAAATTTATCAATTGGTACCAATAACTCCATTTTTCAGTTGTTCTACTCAATACATTGTACATGTTTAGGTGAAATGATCCCCCAGAGGCCTATAAATAAGTCTTATATTATTCCTGTTTGTGTAATAAAGAGTTTTTTTTTCCTTTTGTTAATGTGTAGGAGTTATTTCCCTAGAGTGTTGTAACACAGTTGATATGTGGACTTGGGTTGTACATGACTTGATACCTTTAAAAGATATTTAATGGTTATTTCCCTGGAGACAGAGCTAATTATTGTGATATATAGGGATATAGGTTATGTAGACTAGAGTCAATAGCACACAGGTTTGTTTGAAAACAAAAATAGATTACATCATGTGATGATGTAGAGTGCCTAAATGTTTCTATCTAAACTGTCTCTACCTAGTAGTAGACTTTCATCAGAGGAACTAAGTTATACTGTATTCCAGCCTATATTCAATCTGTAGTAGCTAAAATCTGTGTTATAGTATTGGGATCTTTCTGTGGTCTGGTAGACATTTTACATTCTCATATATTCACTTCACATTCTCTTTTCTACTAAGGAAGACATTAATATATATCAATTATAATAAAAAAGATACTTTGTTATATTTTCAGGAAACAAAAATATCAGCCCTTGAGAAAGAGCTTCGGTTGAAAGAAGATGAACTGGCAAGATTGCGTGATGACCGAGGAAGTAGTGGAAGCGAGGCCTCATTTGGAACTGACAGTTTACGGCGGAGAGAGAAAAAGCTTCGTCAGCAGGTTAATTTTAAGAACGTACACCTTGAATTGATCACCTGAAATTGCTGTTGTTTTAGTTTTTTTTCTTTGGGTACAATATCACCTATTTAATGTAATAGTCTTTATTAAAGAATTATGAGACAAATTACTCAGAGGGATGTCTGTTTGTTTTGACAGTGATTTCCTTGGGGATCCCAAAACACATTGTTTGATTACAGTGAAAAAAGATTACCACAAAGGCCCATATTGTGTGGACATTTAACAGGCTATACATTAGAAGACTACATTATAGAATTTGTTCAAACCTTGCTAAACACAGCAGTTAATATGAGCCTGTGTATGTTTTCATAGATTAGGCGAATGTGGAGTGGAAATAATTTAAACTGTGTCATATTAGTGCTCTGTTGGCAAAAGTTTTCAGGATTATCCCTGATTTCAAAATTTTCAGTCTTCATTAATTTTTTTTACTCATATTGTCTAAATGCAATGAGAAATTCATAGCTACATTGTCAGGATTCTCAGGTTTTACAACTTTCACCCAGGGTTCCATATCACATTGAGTTACCATGTCTCCTCAGACTCTCACGCCCCATGTTAGTCATTGTATTTTATACCAGTGATGCAATTTAGTCTACTACAGGTCTAAGATAGTTCTGAGTGTGAACAGACTTGATGAACCTACCACAAGTCTAGGATCATTTTCTCCGTCAAAGCCAAGCTGTCCCCCTGGTTCTGCGATAAGCCAATCCTATCCGTTATAACTTACACTTGATTGAAGTTCTTATAGATTTTCAGACAACAATGCGGACATTACTGTCAATGTTGGAGACTCACACTTTTAAATATGATGGCATGGTGGGCAGTAATTCCATGGTTGGTTACCATTTAATAATTTGTCTGTTGATGTTTAACGTCACCCTGAGGTTCAGAATGTTTTTCTATTGTGATAGGCACTCTCATGATGTAAAAAGTCTAATGTTTGGTTCAGCAATGTGTGGTACCAGGTCCTCAAAACAATCCCAGACTAGAAATGAAAGCAATTTTTTTCTATTTATTTATTTATTTATTTATTTATTTATTTATTTGTTTGTTTGTTTGTTTATTTATTTATTTATTTATTTATTTATTTATTTATTTATTTATGTTTATTTTGTAAGTAGCTCGAGAAATGCACTACCATCCCCATTCCCAGATGAAGTTGAACTGTAAGCAGCCAAGGTATTGACTGTTTAAGTCCCAGTGTCTTTCTCAACTGATAAAATGAATAACTTCTACATTTCTATGGAAATTTTAAAAATATTTGATGAAACTTTTCAATATAAAACCTTACAGTAGCCACATCCCAGACCCCTTGTTTGGAAATTGCCCTTATGCCTGTATGAGGAGCAGGTATTTTAAGTTCAGGTACAGATAATATGATATGATATTATAATAAAGGCCAAATCTGAGCCAACTTGTTACATTTGCTGATGGAAAGTAAATGAAGCTTATTTAAGGTTATTTGACAAGACAATTGCCCTATTTGTTAATTTGACTCAGGTGAATTGGTGACATATAACAGCATAAGTGATAGGAAATGGATGTATGAGTTTCATACCCTAAACAATTACTGCTTCAAGATTTTCAGATCCTTTTATGTACTGAATGTACTGAAGGGAGAATTTTATGATGAAAATTGATGGAGAAAACATGACACTTGAATGAAATGTTTTCTCGCATTTTTTGCCAGGTTGTTGTCACTTTATGGTAATGTTTTTCTTCCCTTTTCTTCTTTTATTGAAATTTGGTGAATCTGTTGATGAAAGAGTCAATACAGGAAATTTGAAATTTGAGAACTCTCTGTTATTGATAAGTGAAGTTGAAATCCACAGGGACAAAGTCTATCAGTGTTGGACTGATAGCCTTCCAAATCTTTCTTTTGTTGGTGGGGAGCTTGGTCAAGATTCAAACTTTGACGGAAATTTGAAATATGAGATTGCTCAGATAATCCATCTTTTTTTTTGTGTGTGACATCAGTTGAATATGTCTTTGCCTTCATTTTCACTAGAAAAAGGGTGGATATTAACAAAAGAAAAAAATGCTGTTGTGCCTGTTTAATTATTACAATAACACTTTATATATATATATATACAGGTAGAAAAGTAACTTAAATATTGCTTTGGCATAATGTTTGAATTTCCTAAGATTTAAATTATAATAAGTTAAGAATTATAATTCTTCTTGTACATAAGCAACATTCTCTCAGTTACTTACTATGCATGACTTAAAAGTATTTTGATCATACACATTTTAATATTAAAATTTTTAGATTTTGAAATCATTAGATATTGGATACTCATTGCTGACTGTTGTGATTTTCCAGGTTGAAGATATGCAGACGGAGCTGACCCTGAAGGAGGCCGAGTTACAGTCTATAAAAACCAAGATGGTCACCTCGGAGCGCCAGCAGTCGGATCATCTGCATCACATCTCAGTGTTGAAGGAACAAACTAGTGCCAAAGAACAGCAAGTCAATCTATTACAATCAGATGTAAGTAGAATGGTCCAGAATTATGGTTAGGGATTTTTTCCCCTGAAACTGCTAGATTTGTGCTAGTCTAGAAACTATGTTTAATACTGTGTATTTTATCCATACTACAATAAATAGGACCTAATAGATAACATAAATGTAACTATATTGATGAAATAAATGATAATAATCTTAGGCATCAGTCATTGATATGCTAATACTAATCCAGTATTGTGTTTTAACAATGTCACTGTTGTCATTAAAATCATGTTGGATTTCCTCATGGCAAAATTGGAAGCAGCAACTTTTCTTTTCCTCACACCTCCTAATCGGATTACTTGTTAGATTGCTGGCACTTTGTAAAAGGCTTATTTTCAGGGATATGTTTTTCCAGTCTTCAGGGTGAATTCAGACACTCTCTCTCACTAGGAACCATTTTACTAGATTTTTCTTTTTCAAAGGTTCATATTCAAGCAGGAGTTTGTCTAATACTTGAGAGAAACCTCCTTAGGGCAATTATATTCAAATATGTAGTCTGAGACAATTATATGCACACAAATACAAATGTTTTGGCCATGTATTGATTTCATTATTATTTCTTTTGTTGGAATTAAAAGAAAATGCTGTAAAAATGACATACTTGTAACTGGGGCTGGTTCTTTTTTTTTGGAGAAACATGCATATAGGTGCCATAAGTCTGAATTAATATCCATACTTTTCTGCCAAATTTGCCAATTTGTAGAAGGTTGCCAAGGTAACTCAATAAAGAATCGTCCAATTTTTAAAAACATGCTCGTGTTCTTATTGGAAATGTGCGTGGCATGCAAGGGTTTGATTGGGACAAGCCAGGCAGAGTGAAACACATTTTTCTTGAGCTGTCTCTAATTAACCATGGGAAATGTCACTCTACCCACTCTGTAATGAGATTATTTCTCCAACAGTGACTGAGCCATTTATTGTAATTTCAGAGAAGCTTGCCAGGTAGATTTTGATTCTGAAACTAGAGTCTCAGGAAAGTGCTGAATGATTGACATTTGTGTGTGTGCTAGTGTGTGAGTTTGCAACTGCATGTGTCTGCATGCATGTGGGTGTGTGTGTGAGAGAGTGAGAGAGATAGAAAAAGCAAAATAATATCCAAAACCACTGCGTAAAAGTGCTTTACTCCAAGCACATGTCACCATCATGTGACTAATTCCAATTAGTGATCACTGTAGAAAACGTTTACAAATTGCGTGCCAGCTCATTTAATAAGTAAAATCTTTCAGTTGTGGAGGAAATCTTGTAGAATGACACAGTTGCATGTCTGTCTTAGAGCGCAGTAATCATTACCTAGTACATTCGATACAGCCTGTTATCATCTTCTTACAGAAAGCTTCATCAGGTGCTGGAGAATTTTCACTCTGCTATAAACCTAATGTTTAGTGTTGCTCTAGGGAAATATTGTCGTGATAAATTGAAAAATTGAAGTTTTATCCTTGGGATGTTTTTTCCTATATAATTATTTTATTAGCTCAGTCTAATTTTCTTGTTTACGTTCATTTCGTTTCACAGTGATTTACAGAGGACAGGTTTTGAAATTTAATGTTCAAAGAAAACTTCTTGTCAGGTATGGTAAAGGTTCACAGTAGTAATTATAGTTTTTTTTTCTTTCCCCAGTCTTGGTGAATATCATTGGATTTTTCTTTTTCTTTTCGAATAAAAAATTTCTCTCTCTCTCTCTCTCTCTCTCTCTCTCTCTCTCTCTCTCTCTGTTACAGCAATTAAAATGGAATGCAATAAACAGAAAAGAGTGTTTGAGTGATATTTGGGGCACATGTGAAGTGTAGGTATCAGCTAGCTTATTATTTTTTACCAGTATTTATTTTATTTTTTACTTATTTTTTTGTATTAATTTGCATGCTTATAAACCTCTATCAATCATTTCAGTATCCATTTGGCAAGAAGAAATGGTCTTGATTACAAAAATATAGAGACATTCAAGTATACTATTAATAAAAGGTGCACTGACACATCCCTTTGATGTCAGAGCAGTTAGAATCAGATCCCAGACCAGCAGCAGTTCACACACCCCCAATACACACACACACACACACACACACACACACACACACATAGAGAGAGAGAGAGAGAGAGAGAGACAAAGACCTGTACCTAGTATGGTTTGCCATGGCCTTATTCATAAGATGTCAAATAAAACATCATAAATTTTGTAGAAATCTTCTCAATTACATTGATCTCTGGCTGTGTTTTTTGACCTTCAGTGCCTGAATGCTCTGGTGCAAGTATGGCAAAAGAAGCTGTCAGGTCCGTAATAAAAGAGATCTGTGCATTCAGTAGTTTGATAAAGGCTTTTGATTATTTTTCTTTTCAATAGAAGGCAAAATGTTTGATAATTCTGTGTTTGAAGCTCTGTCTGTGAAGTCCCAGGGCCCTGAAATTTGTCTGACTTTAAGCGCATTCAGAAACTGCTCCTACTTAAACAAGAAATAGTCAGAGAGACAGCACCATGGGGGGAGGGGGGGGGGGAACTTACAGACCTATCCGGATATGAATGCATGATCATAAAATCATGTGATTTGTAATTAAAACTCATATACTATCATTTTTGATCTGAAAACCCTATAGATATTAGAAGGCCCTACTTTGTGCTCTTTCAAAAACAAATTTTTATGGCAAGCAAAGACTGAAATCTTCCTCGCATCTGTATCGTAGTTCCCATGGTATCATGGTCATGCTGTCATATCTGGAAAAGCCAATATGAACTAGATATCTTAGGACATCAGTTATAACTTTCTCCATTTTAAGTCAGTACAGCTTTGAATGCCATAAGTCTTATTACGAAGGTGCAGACAGAAAACTAATAACAGATCAATCACGGGGGTTCTAATGCCCACTGTCTACCATGTGTGTGTTTTTTCATAGATTTTTGATCTGTGCTTAGTTGATGTGGTATTCCGTAATGATTAAGTGATAGTCGGTTAGGATTTGAGACAGTGTGGATGTCTGGAAGTTAATTCAGTTGTCTATGTATCACAGCGTGATAGTATACTTAGCCTGGTTGTAAGACAACAAATTGAGTTGATTTTTGCATTATAGGGCAGAGCTATGAGTCATGATGGATAATTTTTATGAATGTTTTATTATGTAATCATTTCAAGTGTTTTAGATATCACAGCCAAATGAAAAAATCTGCTGATTAAGATTTTGAAGATGACATCTGGAGTACATGGCTTGTTTTTCGTTAGAATTTTGAAGGCAAAATAAACTACATTTTAGTCTTTTATATAATGTCACTTCAACTCATCAAATAGCTCAGTGTTTTAGGAAGTATTGACAGCATTATTATTTTCACAAAAGCTTATCTGTAACCCGCCCTTTGAGGATTAAAGTAATGAATAATACACTTCTTTTAGCAAATTTTGAATTACCAAGAGCACTGCAGCTGTAAAAAAGGCTGTCAATATCTGTCAAAAAGAAAATGAGGAAACTCATAAAAGTAACTTGTAAGAACATGCCAAGTTTTCCACATTCAATTTAACAGCAAAATATGATACTAGAACTGTTACTAACAGTGAACTCTTCGTGAAATGTCCTTTCTTACAGGTGAGCTTTTCATGTTGAAAAATGCAGGTACTTAGTGTGCTTAACAGTTTCGTATCCTGGGTTAACAGTACTCCATTTGTGGCAGCCCATCTACTTCATGAGCCATTATATCTTGACCTTTAAAGAACAAACACTTACAGAGCACCTTAGACCCCATTTCCAGAGATTAGATCGATCTACTCTAGATCGACCTAACTCCCTGGGGGTTCACGCTAAATAGCCGTCAGCCGAGCGGACACGAAAGTTAATTACCCCCTCACAGTTTGTAGTAGGCGGGACAGACATTTAAGCCGGATTATCTGACAGTAATCTAGTGAGACTCCCTGCGGGGATAGATCGATCTAAAAGCTCTGGGAATACAGCCTTAGAGCGCAACGAATTAAGCCAGGCTTTACAAAGCCGGTGACCTAAAAATGGCGGACGTACATGAAAGAAAAACCGCCTAATCTTTTAATAGTCTCTCCGCCTCTCACACGCCTCCCCACATGTCGTCCCTGCGGGGTACAGTAATTAAATCTCGGCTCCGAACATTAATATTTCCGTGAATATCTCTGGTGATATTATCTCCGTAGATAGTCGATTCATTGCTGCTCTACGGGCCAAATTATTCCTTTTTCGTCTCTGTTTTCAAAGATAATAGAACAGAAGCTTTTTTCCTTCGATCGCCTTCAGCCGCCATGCTTTCTTCACCACGAGTTTAACTGATGAGCATGCGCACTTAATATTTCTCAGGTAGCTTCCGCATGGCGAACGGAGACG